ATGTAGAGGGGTTTATATTAATATGGTTTTTGATCTAATTTCCGCCCTACTAAGCACAACCCGCGCTTTACCTCTCTTTTCTGAACGAATCTAAATTTAAAAAAAATGGAATATTTCTGTCAAAGATGACTTCTAAATTTATTCACCTTTCCATACGTACCGTTGGATTTGATAGTCACAAATTGTTGAGATATTGTCTGAAATCTAATACAAGCAGCCCTTCATTCTAAATTCGTTCTTCTTCTTCTTCCTCGCATTTCAAGCTTATTGCGTATGGCATTATTAGCTTATTACGTGCTCTCAACTTATTGTTCTAGATGCACTTCCACAGTTATTAATTGAGAGCTTTCGATGCCTGTACCATTTTTGCATTACAGGGCTGGTAGTGATCACTGCTATCAAAAATAGTGATTTTAGTGACCATGTTGAAGAAATAAGTGACCAAATAGTGACTTAAAGTTGTAAAAATAGTGACTAAAAAAGGAACCTTACAGAAAATAAATGTTTGATATTTTAGACTTATTCAACAAGTATCTCATAAACACTTATATACGATATGAACCTTTAAAACGAAAGATTCAATAGAAAACCAAACTATTGGCCAAACCCACGGCACTAGTCAGGGTGTCTACTAACTGCAAACCCCTGGAAAACCGGGAATCCTCAGGAAATTTTATTTTTTCTTAAAATACCTGGTAGGCTCAGAGAGTTTAATAAATTTCTTACAAAGGATATTTAAAGAAATTAAAATTTTTAAAATACGAGCATTTAATGTTTCTCGTTATTTACATTCACACTTTGAACTTTAAAGATCCACAGTGGACTAATATTCAGTAACAAATATCAAATATATTTAAAAAAAACAGAGGCTTTTTTTTTTTTTTTGGTTTGGAACATGCATGTTTCCTAGAAATTTTAAATATGAAACAGTTCTGGACTTAAAAGCTATAATACTTCAAGAAATTTTCAAGTATCTGGAGTAAAAATCATTTCTGCCACTGAATTCTTATGAGACTTTTAATGTGAGTAGAATTCCAAGGGAAGTAGTGAAACTCAAAAGTAGTGAAATGAATTCAATTAATATTCGGAGAATTTTTCCCAAGGGTTTCTTATTGTGGAGAATTTTAAGGTAATTCCGAGGAAAACTAAAAGAAAATTGAATTAGGAGGATAGCTTTATTGAAATGTTGAGGAATATTTCAATGGAAATCAGAATCAGACTTGGGAAAACACCCACCGGCACTGCGAGCCGTGCAAGAATATTGCTCCCCGTTCAAAGCTAACACGCACTCGGTTTCGGTACCTCTTGTCGGCTCGCCACCGATACGAACAAGAAACCTGAACGCGGAGCCGTTTTATTCGGCTTGGTGCCGTGCTATGGTTATTCGGTGCGCTCCGTGCGGCTCCGTGCCAGGGTCCGGTGCCAGACAGAATGCAGTGCTTCTTTTTCTTTTTTTTCCACTATCGCAGTCTGCTAATTTTTTTTCGTTCCTTTCCTGATTGACCTTTCCGGCGATACTGTACCTCTTTACTCCTATGAGAAAACCCCACAAACAACTGTCATTATGTGCGTGAAGCATGGCGGGCTGTTCCGTTCTCTGTCGCTCAAATGAAAAATCTCAAAGGGGCTGTTCATTAACTACACGCAAACCAAAAATCTATTACAATGAATGTTAGTTCCATTTCCTATCATCCTCTGTTCATGAACATCGCAGCGAATGTTAGAAGTTGACCTTACAGGCGATGTAATGATTTTTTGTCTTTTTCATTTCGTTTTCTTTCTACGCTTTCGACTATACCAGTAAGCTTTAGAACGACGCACATTGTAGAACATTGTAGAACGACGCACACACTTATCTCGAATCTCTCCAGCAGAAAAAGCGTACGAAGTCGAGCATGCGAGAAAATGAGCGCTTCATGTTTGCTTTTAGGCTAACCATATTCAGAAGCACGGAGAGAGCAGTGGAGAAAGCACAGGTCTGATAGTCGCAACGTCCGTGGTTCGAGTCCAGTCGGCAACCATTTTTCTATTTTTTCCACATAATTAATTTCACTCACTAATACACTCCACATTTTTCGGTCTCCAATTTTCTTACATCGGACCGGAGCTAGGTATATCGCATCCTCGGTTCATGCGGTCTCCACTTGCATCCTCTGATGATGAATCCCACATAATTGTAAGCGAATCTTACATCCACCGGTTGGGTGTACGTATACAGTTTTTTTGGATTGACACCCTGAAATTTTAAAATTTGTATGGACCGTGGACAATTACCAAGCCCCCCCCCCCCATTGTCTACGTAGTTTATGAACAGGAAGGAACTATAACTCTGTAAAGAGCCAATGCCGTCAATGCGAATTAATGCAACAGCGATTTTCACCATGTAGCATTAATGCGGCAAATATTATTGCCTTAAAACCATAGTTTTTTTTCCCACAAAGGTCAATTAAGAGTTAATTTTGTTGTTCTTTTTTTCACTGGTGAATACAATTTGCTTCACTATAACGTTATTTAGAAAACTTTCTCTAGTTTACGCAGCGCGGCACAATATGTACCAAACATAATCGTAACGAGAATTGGCGTTGACGGCGACTCTGTAGCTCTTTACTCCTATGAGAAAATCCATAAGCAAACGTCAGACTGCGCGTGAAACATGGCGGACTTTGTACTATCCTTTCACTCCACCGAAAATTCCCATCAGAAAATGTCTATATTTGTCGGAAGAGTAAATTTTTCGACGGTGCCAACGAAAATGGCCAACACATCCGTATCCGAACGGACCCTGTTCCTGTCGAGAGAAATGACAGACGCAATTAAGAACGCGTTTTAAGTTTGCTTCGCACCATGGATTCTTATGTAAAGGGAAAACCTGCTTGCCCATTTTTCTAATTTCAGAACAAATTTCTTGAGTTCATCGAGTAAAATGAAAATATGAGCTACTTCACAGGAGTGGAACTTCGGATCAGAAAGTGGCTCCACTTGTCATTTGCGAACACTAGCGCACCTAGCGGTAGAAGGCATCTTCTGCCTGCAGTTAAGATAGACAGCATGCTATGATAGTGTGAGTGCACATAGAAAGCCCGTGTGGAACGCTACCACAACACATCGCTTGTTGAACAGAAAAACGAACACTTTTTGATTCACTGATTTGTTTACATTTTTTTTTTTTCTTTTTTTTCCTTTATTATAGAGATTTTTAGCCATAGGCTAGTTCATCTCTTGAAAGATTTGTTTACACTTCCCCTTCTGTTCTGTGGCTACTTGCTACCACTTCCATTGAAAAACTCAATTTTGACAAAAACGCAAATGGGACCGAGTATAGCGCAACACCAACAACGAACGATACGAAATCATGAGCGGTTCGTTGGCTCCGTGCCGCACGGTGGTGAGCCGAAGCCCGTAGCACCGCGTTCGGGTTTCTCTTTTGGTTCGGTGGCGTGCCAACATGTTGCACCGTCACCGGGTGCTTTATCGACGAAACCCAGTGCTGTGCATACATGAGTAGGTTGCCACCGAGCCGCACCGAGCAGTGTTTTTACCAAGTCTGATCAGAATGGACTTGAAAGTTCTCAAATTTTTCCTGAAATTAATAAAACTGCCCTAAAATTCTTTTGTAGTTTGAGAAACTAGCCTGATGCTCACAATACTTCTCATCAAATTCTTAACCTTCCCTGAACTTTATAGGACTTCCGAAAGTTTCCTCAATGTTTCTAACGTTGCCTTGAAGTTTCTACAATTTTCCTTAAGTATTATAACCATTATAAACGCTCACTTATTTTCCCTGAACTTATCTATAGTTACCTGAAGTTCTCTAAATTTGTTTAATAATCCACCAAATTTTCTGATATATATTCATAATTCCCTGACGCTTCTGACGTTTTCGGATCAATCAAAGAATTCTTGGTATACCCCATAATTCCACGGAACTCCTCGTAAGGCTCTGCAAATTTGCTTAAGTTAATGGGATTATTCTGAAGCTATCTGATCGTCCTTGAAGTACTCGGAACTTCGCCTGAATATCATGAAACTATCTAAAAGTATCTAAATTTATAACAGGTTTTCTGGAATTTCTTAAAGATATCACTGATTGCTAAAAGTTCTCGCATTTCACGCTTAAAATACTCTCACGTTTTCCGGATGTTCATATAATTTTTATAACTGTGCAGTTCCGCCATTTGCTAGGAATCACCCAACACGCAGCAGTAGGCACACACTCAACTTACCTCAAAGAAGGTTCACTCGTCAATGATGACTGCGATGGCGGTACGACTGTACAGCAGTGCCTTCGTGTGAGCTAGCTGGTGAGCGCTGAGTGACTGAGCTGTTGTCACTCACGCATTAGGCTGATATATGTTGGGCTATCATTATATAGGCTGGTGCATACCACACAATAACGTTCTCGGAGCTTTGCTGAAGTTTCCGGAAATCTTTAAGGTTTCTTCAATTTCCTAGAAATTATTTGAACTGCCCTTTGATTATCCAATCTGTCTTGATGTTCCCGGAGCTTCCCTAAAGCTCTCAATTCTATTGAAGATCTCAGATAAAACTCAGATAATTCTATTTCGAAAAATGAGTAGACTTCCTGTAGATATAGAAAAACGTTTACACGCCACCAAGCAAAGAATGATCAATCTTGAAATAAATTCTCGCTAAAAAAGTTGAAAATAGTGACTGATTACAAGAAAAAGTTCGTACAATGCGCTCGCGCTCTAACAGGATTTTATTGATTCCTGCACGGTGAAATCATTGATATTATTGATCTTTTCTGATCGATAGAACGCTATTACTCAATTTTGAAGTTTCCTAGATTTTCACCATTATGAGATCCGTTTACACAAAACTCTAGAAATTAGGAAACATATCTCTAAAAACTTAATAATATAAATCCCACACGACCGATCAAGACGATCAGAGTCTGAGTAAAATTGAATTGCTATCTCTTTTTCTGTGACGGAAATGTTACTCAGTCGCCATTAAAAACTTCGGTTACTCATACGATATCCATTTATTACCCTATAATCGCATCTACAATTTAGCCGAATCCAAAAACTTAACAAAACCGCTCCACTTCTTGCTGTCCGGCCTTGCTTTGTTCGTTAAATCCTCCGGATTTAACTTTAATAGAATTTATGCGAATCATCGTTTGCTGGGTGCGGTAAAAGTTGATCCTCTCGTACTGCTTCCTTCTCTTCTTCCGGAAATGCGTTTTCGTGTGAGAAAGTGATTTTTCGATAATCGTTGCTTGAATGTCAACCAAACCGAGGGAAACCAATGGCTTTCCGATGAGAGAAAAGTCCTTCCCTCCTGCCAGCAAAACCTTATCCAGACGAATTTTATCGCCATTAGTGGGTGGCCAGTAACCTTCCACGATGATAATGTCACCGGTGGTGATTTTGAACTGTTTACCGCACAGTTGAACAACGGCAAAAAGTCGTCCCTCGGTACCGGATTCGATCTGGTTTTTCACATCTTGCACGATAGATGCACTCGGTTGTGGGGAGACTAACGAGGAGTTGTAGCGAGAAAGGATAGAATTGACCGGTAGTGCAGTAGGTGCCGTTGGGAAGGTTGTTGGTGTGACGGACAGGGTTTTCAGTGAAGCTGAAATCAAAACAATGATTACATCAAGCCTGGTACTCGGCGGAAGATAACGAAAGCAACTTACTTGTGAGCAATTTCCTACATGGCACTTTAAAAAACGACGTTAACCGATTCAGCATCATTTTCAATTCAAACAACTAACCAGACTAACACAAATGATTGAGGAAAAACTGCAATTTTCCAGAAAATTTAAGTGTTATGCTGACCTGTTCGGCATGGTTTTTCGATTAAATTTTTTGTTTTGATGGAACGCATTTTGACAGCTTTGGGCCACAGTTAACTCAAGGCGTTCGCGAATAGGTCGACAGTCATTGTACACCCGTTGGAAATTAACCATTAATGGTTAAAACTAAGGGCCTCCCTTAGCTCAGTCGATAAAGGCGCAGCTAAAGCAAGACCACAGACAAACAAACGTAACTCTTCATTGTGTATCTTCGTTCATGCATTTAACGGTTGATTTGAATATTATCAGTTCCGCGAACTACTCGCCGCAGCGCTGGCATCGGATCACTTTGACGTTTCTATATATTCTATAGAAATTTTATGCAATATTGTTTACGAGTTTGCGAGCAAGCTTGTTTTCCGCGAGAAGCCAGATAGATGTCGTTACTGAGGTTATATGTTTTGAGATACTATGTTTTCAAGAACAAGTTTTTCAAAGAGTTACGTCTGTTTGTCTGTGGCAAGACCATGCTGGAGGTGACTGGGTTCAATTCCCGGTCCGGTCTAGGAATTTTCCGGGTTGGAAAATTTCTCGACTTCCCTGGGCATAGAAGTATGATTGGGCTTGCCACATAATTATACCAATGCAAAAATGGTACAGGCATCGAAAGTTCTCAATTAATAACTGTGGAAGTGCATCTAGAACACTAAGCTAAGAGCACGCAATAAGCTAATATGCGATATGCAATAAGGTTGAAATGCGAAGAAGAAGAAGAAGGTTAAAACTAAATAAAAAATTTTCTTTCGATTTACATACACGGAGTTTCGTGAAAACCCAATAATGGGTATTCATTTTCAAACCATTTTAAGAAGATGGATAAAAAACACCCATTTATTGACAGACCTCCCATTTACCTATTAATGAGTAAAACATAGTTTACTCATTAAATAGAGGGCACTTTTAGTGGAAATTGGTATTTCTATACCCATTAATGGGTTTTTGCGAAACACCGTGTTCGTCCTATGAGACTAACTTAGAGAATGAGTAATTTCGACTCAGATCTCGACACAGATGTAAGAGAAATTTCTATAAACTGGGGTTATTCAGCACTGAGCATCCTCAGTTGTTAACCAGTATCGGAGGAAGATCATCGTGGTGCATTACCGGTATTAGATTTACCACCGATCCCTAGTCCGAACAACTTCTAACAACTTTTGTAGTAATCAAAGGAACATCGAGAGGAACAAGGTTGCAAATACTCATTTCAGCTAAAATAATGTTTTTCGGAATAATAAAACCAAAAGATGGTATGATGACATGTTTTACTTGTTACTTACAAGAAGAGGTTACAAAGTATGCGTTTGAAACATGAAACCTGTAAATTTTGCTTTTTATGAGTCACAATCAGCGATTTGCTGAGTGTGTGAAAAATCGCTGATTGCGAATCTCATGAAGTGAAATAAACAGGTTTAATATCCCTAATAAAATTGAGATGGTTATTTTTCTTAACGTCGTCTTTGGGGTATCATCCAAACCATTTGTGGAAAAGTTCGACAATTTGGGTAATCGTTCGTTTATGGTATTTATTTATTAGGGATGTCAAACACATTCTTTGCAACCTCTTCTTGTATCTTACCAATTCAAAATATGATTATACACGGCAAAAAAAATGTAATATCGATCAACGTAATTCAAGCTGATGTATGAAATGATACAATATTACATCAATCGACGTTATTTTGTTCGCAAAATCGATGTACATCGTACACGCAGAGAAATCTATCATCGAAACAAACATATTTGAGGTAAATTTAAACGTAATCTCAGTTTGTTCTGGCCACAAAAATAAATTAGGTTGATTTCAAACGTATTCCATGTTAAAAGTAATGTAAACCAATGTTTTAAATAAATATAATGTTACGTTTATTTCAAATATATTCATGTTCAAAATAAACATACAAACTTTTGTTTGCTGTCAACTTTGTAACCAAAAGAAATATGTTTATTTTAAACGTGTTTTTCATTTTTGTTATCAACATCGTGGAGTTTATTTTAAACGTACAATATTTTTAAAACAAATTCTGATGTTTTGTTTATATATATATATTTCAATATTTGATTATAAACATGTTTCTCGATAGTTATCTTCAAAACATTATTTATTATACCTCAGCATTACGGCATTTCCCCTATTGAATGTAATGGTTATGGTAATAAATGGGCTAGAAACCTTTCGCAAGCAGGTAATCGGTTCTTTGTGCATATCGTCAACCTCGTCGTCAACAGGTCAACAGTATCGTTGCAAACAGTTTCTTCCAATGACGACACAAATCAGCCGGCTTTTGGCGAGGCTTTTGGTATTCTTCATCCGTTTCCGTGTGGGAAAGATCAAATAAAAAGGAAACCCGCTTCAGCAAGCCAGACCTAAGCTGCAAGTATGTTGTTCCATTACATGCACATAGCTTGCCTTTTGATATTCCTCATGAGTGGTTTGACGTTTTTCGACTCCAGCACGATGATATAGTTGATGCTGACTCAAGAGCTGATGATTCGATAATCGGAGTTTCCACCGGCGGTTCCGATCGAGGTTTCGATCACTGTAGCTTCCAGGCTCGGCCGTACATGCTGTTGACTGAATGTAAATAAGGGCACGTTGAACACACTTAATCTAGCTCGGTAAAATCTCCAACAGCCGATTACCTCGGCATTTACATTTGCTGATATACTGCAAAATATCTGTTTGTTAGCTGATATCTCAGCAAAATGTTATTTGTTAGCTGAGTCTCGGCAATTGTGTTACTGAATTTCAGCAAAATAAATTGCAGAACTGCTCGGCTGTTGGAATCTCGGTGAAAAAAATTAAGTGTGAAAATCAATTTTGGTTGAAGGAAAAAATGTCTACCTGCGGCAGCGCATAAGGGTAAGTGGTGGGACCATAATCATCATCTCAGGGCCAATATCCGTACGGAGCAGCCTTTGTCTGAATCGATAGTAAGGTTCAGTAGCGCTGCTGCTGCAATAGAATAAATTGCTGAGATGTATGGTCAATATTCACGTGTACATTTACAAATTTACCTATCAGTACCAATATTCAAACGGATTGACTCGATGAATTGCCGATTCTAGCCATTTGATCCCGGTAATACAAATCAACGGGTTGAAAATAGATCCTCCTGGCGTGTATGACAACAAATTTCCACGGTTATTTCCCTCGTTATTTCCCACAAAAATTACCTTAAAAATCAAAACGAATATTTTTAATTCAAACATATTTGCCGTTGAAACGACGATAAACATTTTTGAATAAATAATCAAATACGATTGAATTTTATATTGTTGAAATAAAAATGCGTTTGAATTTAATTCAAACGTAAATATGTTTGTTTAAAAAATATTTTCAATTTGCTTTGAATAATTCATACACACAAAAAACGAAAATTGTATCAATAAAAATATTGACCTTTCAATTTAATAGTACTCAAAAATTCGTTACTTCAACAATGAAAATGTTTAAAATAACAAGGGAATTTTCAATTCAAAAGTAGATGTTTTGATTTTAACTTGTGGTTGTAAAAGTACAAATTTTCAAATCAAAAATTGTTTAACTGTCAAAATTACTTCTTCTGCAGTAGATTTTTACTCATTTCTGGATAGCTTTAGTATAACGTGAGTAAATAAAAAGAAAAACGCGCAAACCGGGAGGTGAAAAACATTACATCAGAACAGTTTTTAAATTAAATTATTCACGGAGTGTTTAATTATTCGTATGGAGATGAAATACGCCCGTAAAAGTTTTGTTTTGCTTCCACTGGTTATTCCCGGCAGTCGCCTAACCGGACAAGAAGGGAATCGAGAGGATAAAGGAGTGTTCTCACGATTTGACCATCTGTGGAATCATCTTGTTCGAGATGAGGAAGATCTCACCAATGCACAATCGTACGGAAGAGTGGGCCAAATGTAAATACGGTAGAAGGTAATCACCAAGTCCAGCCGGGTATTGGTATGTAATGTAATGTACTGAATTGATAATTTTTGCCCTACATACGTTTTCTACTGTCTCCACAGCGCTTCCATCATCGCATCTGGTGATAGTTACCATCACCAAAACGATCTACTGAGTAACCGAGTCGTTGGAGAGTTGTGTCTCAGCTGGTGATGCTCAATCTTCTCGTTGAACGATCTCGAGTCGGAAGGTGCAGCCAAGTACCTGAGCATAATATCCCGAAAAAGATGTTCAGTTGAAGAAAACAAATATAGAAATTGAAAGGGTCCACGAGATCAAAGAATAATATATGGTTATTCATAAAACAAATGATATATAACAATTGAAAAATATACTTTTATAACTTACAATTGAATAAATAAGACTTTGAATTTGATATTCATTAGAATTAAAATGAAAAATAAAACTGTTATGTTGATAATTCTGATGTTTAAATTGAGAATAGTTTTATTTGCTTTGAAACAGTGAACGTTATTTCAACTAATCCCAACTTTCATGCCAAAAGTTTGTTTTGAATTCGTACTTTTCATTTGACAGTACTACAATTCATTTTGAAAGTTTTAACTTTCAAAAGCAGGGAATGGGTAACTTTTGAATTAACAGTTGGCTAACTTTTGTTTTGAAAGTTAACCGCTTTCTACCAAAAAGAACCAATGCAAACTTTTAGTTCTACCAATGGTTTTTTAATTCTAGTAACATTTATTTTTTGTGTGTATGTTTATAAAATAAACATTTATATTTTTGATTTAAATGAACAAAATTCGTTTCCGTGTGCAACGTAATATTTCATAACCGTCGGAATGAGCTCTGTGCAGCTGTTTGGATGTAATATTCAACATTTTTTTTTCTGTGTAGCATCTTATTATTTCATAATTAAAAACAAAAACATTGTTTTAGCTTAAATGAGTATTTGCAAACTTGGTGAGGAACACATCTTAAAACCGGCGCACAATGGATAAGTTTTCAGGTTTTTTGGCAGTTAGCCCATTTCAGTCGAGTCAAAAAACCCGGAAACTTACATTGTGCGCCAGCCTTTAGTCTTTGTTACTTTTTTATGTCTCGTTAATAGTGACAAGACTCCACGCAGAAAAAAATATCGAAATAATAATATCTGAAGCTCATTTTGTTCTGTCCACAAAAAAACTAGGTTGATTCAAACGTATTTTATGTAAAAAGTCATGGGACATCAATGTTTATAATGTAAATCATCATAAGGTTACGAAAAAAAAACAAATCGTGTTGAAAATAAACGTGAATTTTTTTTTTTGGTTTGGCAGCAAACAAAGCAAGTAAACAAATTTTATATATTATTTTAAAATTTCCAGCTTATTTTCCTCTTAGTTTGATAAAAGAAGCAATTATTGCCAATTCAGAGAAAAAATAGCATTTGGCGTCAGATTATCAGCTTTAAAAGCATGCTGTGACTGTCAGATGTGTTGAATTATTTTCACTGAAACGGCAATATCTAGCATCTAATACAGCAAACACGGTTTTGTAGCTTGTCACGAATCGAATAGTATTTAAATTGATACACGCAGATAATTTTTTTTTTTATTCAAATGGATATATTTTTGGCCTAATATATTTTTGGTATTGATTCAAATATATTATTCGGTTAATTCAAAGAAAAATATAACAAACCGGTTGTAGAGCTCGTTGTAGAGTTAATAATCTGTTTGTTGATTCTAAAAACCATTTTGTTGATTCAAAAATATGTTTTGCTGAAATGGTCATACAATATGTTTTAATCAATAACATAACACATTAGGTCCTGAAATAAAAATCCATTTTTCTGCGTATATTAATTTGTGTTCCCGATGATTGAGGAGAAGGAATTACGTCTGTATGTCTGTGATTCAACGGCCGTAATGGTTCGAAATGGTCGACCGGTCGACCTATTAAAATCAATTTATTGCCACAGTTGACAACAAAAACAAAACTCAAAATTTCATCAACGATAATCACAAAGCGCGCTTATAAAACGGTTATTCATTCTAGCAAAATTATTCCTCCATTATTTCAATTTTATGTACGTAGTTTAATAATTTGAAAAATTCCAACAATTCTACATCCAAGTAAGCCCATTTTTTCATAAGCATAATATAATTTATGGAGAAATTTCGAACTTTTATTCGTATCAACAGCTTTCAAAAGATGTCTTCCGATCCAGTACTTCACCGGCACTTGAAAGGTCATCGTAACCGTGTTACAGGAATATCGTTTCACCCAGAGGGCAACCGTTTTGTGACTGGTTCCACCGACAACACGGCCATAGTATGGAACATCAACGAACAGGTGCGTTGTATGCGCTTCGAAGCACACTCTGACGTGATCAACGATATTTGCTGGTCACCGGATGGGCGGATTGTTGCTTCGGCGTCCAAGGACCGGACGGTAAAAATCTGGGTTCCCTCGCTGATGGGAAACTGCGACGAGTTCCGGGCGCACACTTCCAACATCAGATCGGTGGATTTCGATTCGAAGGGGAAAAAGCTGATAACGGCATCGGATGATAAGTCGGTTAAGCTGTGGAAGGTATCGAGGAAACATTTCGTGTCGTCGTTTACCGGCCATACCAATTGGGTGCGATGTGCACGGTTCAGTCCGGATGATAAGCTGATTGCTTCGTGCGGAGACGATCGGGCGTTGAAACTGTTCGATCCGTTGTCCGGACAGTGTGTGCACAGTTTCGTGGACCAGAAGGGAGCAGGGAACAAGGTGGCCTGGCATCCGGATGGAACACTGGTGGCAATTGGATTGGATAATGCGAGGGTGAAGATCTTTGACATCAAGATCCGGAAGCTGATTCAGTATTATAGGATTTTCGAAGGATCGATTAACTCGTTGGATTTCCATCCGTCGGGGAATTATTTGATTACCGGAAGCGATGACGGGGCGGTGAAGATTATTGATTTGCTGGAAGGAAGGCACATTTATACGTTGACAGGGCATACTGGACCGGTGACGGCAGTGAAATTTGCTAGAGATGGACAGCTGTTTGCGTCCGGGAGTGAAGATCGTCATGTAAGTCACTGTAACTTATGGTATCTATTATATGGTATGCTGAGAAACTGGTCTTATGCTTGTAGATTATGCTGTGGAAAGTCAACTTTAATGGAGAATCGTCGGAAAATTCGCTTTACTCATCGGAGTGTAGCGATCTTCAGCCACATCTGATGCAGCAAGAAGACAGACCACGTCATGCGATTCCCTCAAGTAGGAAACTCAGCTATCAGGATTCCCAAGGTACGGATGAGGATGAAGAGATTCGGTTCAGCAACAATAAGGAAAATCACCCAGATACGAGTATTCTGGTTGATGCCAGAAAGACAGAGAACTTCCACATAACGGATGTTCACGAGGTTTGCGATTAAATTCCTTCTAACTGTGCTAGTTTTTCCGTGGTCTAACTTTTAACGTTTTAATTTAATTGATAAATTTAAGGAAATTGTAATAAGACTATGCAAGAAGCCTCAAGTGCGCTGCCTGTCGGAGTCCTGTTTGAATCCGTCCGCACGCGGTGAACAGGAACCGAGTAAGAATGGTAGCAATTTCGAGAAGCACGTCATTCGAAAGCTTGGGCTAATTGAAAGTGCGGTCTCAAGTCTCGAAAGAAGAGTTGCGCTTCTGGAAGACGTCGTGCTCAATCGAAGCTGAGGTTGAAAGGAAGTTTTCTCTATTTATCGATTAGAGTTTTATTTGTTTAATTGTACATAGTTTCGAACGGATTTATTTTTAATTACAAGCATTCAAACATAAACCAGTTAAATGACGTACCAGCCACTGGCTGAAAGTCACTCTAATATAGAAAACAAAAACAAACAAACCAGTCACAATCTATAAAATCTGTCGCCTTAATTATACTTACAATAGATAGTCGTTTCGTGGGAGTTCACTCGTTTGGGAACAAAAAGCAAATTTTAACAACAAAGTGCCGTTAATAGATTTACACCAATACTCGAAACTTTTCATGATATCATTGTCAAATATCATACAATAAGAAAAATCTGAGAACATCCCTGAGTCAAACCCGGTTGCGGCATTTCTAGGCTTTCAACCCAACATAGCTCGTTTCTTTGCCGGTCTTCTTGATGGTTTCCAGCAGTTCGTCCGAAGAGAGCGAGGAAGTAACGAACACTTTCTTGTTGTCCAGGTCGATGTCCACCTTTTCGACTTTTTCTGGAATGAAAGTTTATCAACTCGAATTTCCACATAGAGCAAAACTGGTGATGTCATCTTAAACATTTATATTTGTGTCAATAAAGATTACTTTGCGAAGTTTGGAATATCGAATTATAGGATTCACCTACAATGTTATAACTAACTTACAATCAACTCTCTACAACTCGATGTCGATATCAATTTAAGTTGAACGTAACAAACATTTTTTTAAATAACAAACATGGATGTTTCCGTCCACCAACTTCATATCAGTCCACAAACTCCGTCGTCAACCAACTGTTGGCTATTTGCTTACCTTTGAGCTTTCCGAGAACACGTTCCACCGCTCCCGAACAACCGGTGCAGGTCATTTCTACCTTGAATTCGTGTGTCTGCTGCAAGCAACAATCATATGTGTATTAGTATCCTATACCAGTAGCGTTTCGGAGACGAAGATCATCAACAACGAGAATGGGTTGCGTCTTATCGCAATCTTTGCCGTCCTCGTTTAATGAGGATGCTAATATTTGTATAGGGACAAATAGCCTTTCAAAAGTAGGGCCGCTAATCTAATCTAGTGGTATGATTGAAATTGATTCGCTCTCAAAAAAAAAATCAATGTCTCGCTTAGCAACTGAAAAGGTAGCACAAAGTGCTAAATTTAGATACCTGAAAACATCCTACTTACAGCTGCCATTGTAGTACTTTCGTTGAAGGGATGAACTATTTAATTAGGTCTAAATAGATATTCAAGCCGACTGGAATCTTTCACCTGGTTCGAACTGGAACTAAGATGACTTGAGGAAAAAGTTTCGATGTGATCTGCCTCTCTGGATGGATGGTAAATATCTGGTAGAAAGTTTGACATTTCCTTGGAATGTATGTGTGTTATATGCATCTTGAAGCTGTGTTGTTATATTCTAGTATCATATTAACATTGTGGTCAATTCTACAAACGGACGTGCTCCAGGTTGACTATTTTGGCACAAACACTTTTGCAATAAGGTACGTAGGTATTGGTGTAAAATACTGTGTAGGGTAAGGTGGGGCAACAGTGATGGATCGCTCTTTTTTGGGCTTTTTCATTATTTTATATTATAGAATTTTCAGTTAACCCATCGTAAAATAGATAATTTAATACTATTAATCTCCCTTTCAAAATGCAAAATTTGCGCACCATACCCTAATAAAAATTGTATGGTTAATTTGCTTAACGACGTGTTCTGGGTATCATCCAAACCATTTGTGGAATAGTTCAATGATTTAGGTTATCGTTCGTTTATGGTTATTTTTTATTAGGGTAGCGCCACACTCTGTGTTTTCATTGAAGGTGCACTCGAGAGTGCTCTCACTGCACCTTCAGTGAAAACACAGAGAGTGGCTCTGCGATGCAGAAATTTATAAGGAAAAATAGCATTTAACTATCTATTTTACGAAGGATTAACTGAACAATCAATTGAACTTAATGCAGGGGCGTTTCATTTACCTCAATCTACCTGTGCACCAACTCTCAAAACATAAACAATTATCAAAATATTGCTTGCAATGGATAGATATCTAGTAAACTAGAAGATTAAGTGTATTTTTCAACGGATTAAGTATGAATTTGACATTCAATCTGGTTTTGAAAGTTGGTGCACAGGTAAAAAGAGAAGGTTGCGGGACGCCACTGACATAACGCAAGCATTGTATATCAAAAAGTAATGAACAAGTCCAAAAAGAGCGATCCATCCCTGTGCGGCAAGATGGGTCTCATTTCAGCTAGTACATTTATTCAATTATTTGTTTGTCAACAGTTCAACAGATGCAATGCAACCTCAATGATGGTTTGCTCTTTCAAACCTACATTGAAGGTATATTGAGCCTTTTGATGTCAACAATCGACAAACATAAAATCAAGTAGATGATTCAGCTGGCCCCACCTTGCCCTACATGAACATGTAGAGAAACGAAGATTGATGCCGCCATCTAGGCGCATACATTTGCTTGCAGAGCAGTTCCACGCCAAACGACGGATCGGAAAAACTCCACCTTTTTTTTTTTTAACTAGTTCGTTTATTTACTAGGCTCAGTCGTGTGTGACACTTTGCGGAGCCAAAATCAGTAATGTTTGATTTACATTTTAAATAGCAGTATTTCTAGGTTAGTATTGGGTACCAATTACTCGTGGCGGGCTCGAGGTTAATGGGTAACAATTTCAATTGGAAGGATCTAGGTAGGAAACTGGTTTCTGAAGCCTCCTTCAGATACTACTCTCGGACGGTTGACCAAATCCTGACTGGGCAGGGGCAAGTAGCACAGGAACAGGAGGATAATAAGACTGGGACACAATGGCGGGAAATTGTTTGGAAAGGAGGGGATAGTCACATCAAACTCTAACATCAGACAAACAAAGGAATTCGTAGATCGCTTGCATGTAGGGAAGATCACGTGTTCCCAATACATCTCTTACTTCACGGAAGGGTTGTCTACCTCGGGCCACTAGGGTATCCAATAGTCGTGCTCTGGAGGCGTCATTACCCGGGCAATACCAAACTGCGTGATCGATGTCATCATAACCGGTTCTGCACCTACATATATTGCTGTCAACGAGGTTTATTCTATAGAGATGTGCGTCTAGCGAGTAGTGGTTGGACATAAGTCTTGACATCACTCGAATGAATTCCCGACTTACATCCAGACCTTTGAACCACGCTCTCGAAGAAACATTTGGAATAATGGAATGTAACCACCGCCCAAGAGAATTATTTGTCCAATCGTTTTGCCAACTTAAAAGAGAACTCTGACGTACTAATGGGAAAAATTCATCATGTGAAATTCTTCTATCATAAATCTCGCCTTGTTGTGCGCCCACCTTTGCGAGAGAGTCTGCCTTCTCATTGCCTGGGATTGAGCAATGTGAGGGGACCCATACAAAGGTAATCATATATGATCTTTCGACCAGCACACACATCTGCTCCCTTACCTTTGAAAGGAAATAAGATGAGTGCCTACTTGGTTTCATCGACCGAATAGCCTCAATGGAACTGAGACTATCCGAGAAGATGAAGTAATGGTCTGCGGGCATGTTGGAAATCATCCCCAATGCGAAGTTGATTGCTGCCAGCTCAGCAACAAAAACGGAACAAGGTTCCTGAAGTTTCCGAAAGGCGGTTGAGTATTCATTGAAGACGCCGAAGCCAGTGGATCCATCAATGCGTGATCCATCAGTGAAAAATCTTCTATTGCAATTGACTTGTTGGTACTTTTCAGCAAAAATGCGGGGAATTGAGATAGGTCGAAGTTGATCTGGAACTCCTTGAATAGCCTGTTTCATGGAGAGATCATAGTTAATGGGGGAACTGTAGTTAGTAAAGCATACACGAGAGGAGTTCTAGCAAGGAAGGCTAATATCCGATGACATATAATTAAGGTAGATTAGCACGAATCTAGACTGGATGCTCAATTCGAGCATTTCTTCGAAGTTTTCAATCACAAGGTTGTTACTGACACTACATTTAATCAATATTCTTAATGAGAGCTCCCAGAAACGGTTCTGCAGGGGTTTTACGCCCGCTAGGACCTCTAGGCTCATATTGTGTGTTGAATGCATACAGCCAAGGGCAATACGTAAACAACGATATTGAATACGTTCCAATACGCCAGCGCCAGCGCTCAAATGGGTGTAACCTATCTAGACTTCAGAAGATGTGACGTAAACCTAGTGAATAACGAACTTTCGGCTGTTGATTGGCTCTCACTGTTGAATCGACCCTCGATAGACGAAACTGTGTCCGTTTTCTATGATAAACTGCACAGGATCTTTGACAAGGTTGTTCCTCGCCGTCACTGCACTTCCAACGCGGTAAACAGAAAACCCTGGTGGACAGGGGAATTACGTCAACAACGCAACAGGCTTCGTAAGGCTCGTAATCGTTTTTTCAGTGTGAGATCAGACGAGAACAAGAACAACCTCCGTAACATCGAAAGCAGCTACAACGAACTCCTTGCATCGACCTATGAAGCATACGTCAACAATCTCCAGTCAAACTTGAAGCAGAACCCCGCATCGTTCTGGAAGTTCGTCAGGGACAGCAAAGCAAACAAACGCATTCCCTGCAATGTCGAATATGAAGGAGTGACAGCTGCAACACCTAGTGAATCTGCAACTCTATTCGCTGACTTTCTCAAAAGTGTGTTCAGTACTTCTCCACCGATTCCTCTTCCCGGAAGTTTCCAGCGAGTGCCATCGTACGACGTGAACCTGCCTACTGTATGTATCTCTCCAGAGGAGGTACTGAAATTATTGAACGACCTGGATGTTTCGAAGGGAGCAGGTGTAGACGGATTGCCTCCTTCCATTATCAAAGCTTGTGCATTAAAACTAGTGACGCCCGTAACCTTGATATTTAACCAATCGCTATCAAAAGGCGAATTTCCAACCATGTGGAAAACTGCTAAAATGGTGCCAATCCACAAAACTGGCAATCTAAATCGAGTAGAAAATTACAGAGGCATTTCGATACTTTGCTGCCTCGGTAAGGTTTTCGAGAAACTGGTGCACCAGTTTTTGTACAATGCATCTAGACCGTTAATATGCGAGTTCCAGCATGGTTTCGTGGAACGGCGATCAACAACGACCAATTTGATGTGCTACACAAACACTCTGTTCCACGAAGTCGAGGCTCGTAGCCAGGTTGACTCAGTCTACGTGGACTTCTCTAAAGAATTTGACACCGTACCACACATCCATATCACTGAGAAACTTCTGCACATGGGCTTCCCGATTTGGATCATTGAGTGGCTCAAATCTTATCTAACAAATCGCAAAGCTTTTGTTCAAATCGAGACTGAAGAGTCATCAGTTTTCGACGTAACCTCTGGAGTACCTCAAGGAAGTGTGCTAGGACCACTTATTTTCATTCTGTACATCAATGACCTTGGTCTCCGCCTATCGTCTGGCAAATCTTTCTTCGCAGACGATTTTAAACTATTCAGGGTAATTGCATCGGTCTTGGACTGTGCTGCCATACAAAACGACATTGACGAATTGTTGAAATGGTGCGAAGAGAACGGGATGAACGTTAACATAAAAAAATGTAAAGCGATTTCATTCACACGTTGCCGCACTGTGTTGAAATACAGCTATAAGATCGGGCCCTCTACCCTGGAACGTGTAGATTCTATTCGTGACTTAGGTGTTATATTGGACAGCAAACTGAGATTCAACGAACAAATCTCTACAACAGCTGCAAAGGCCTTTGCTGTCCTAGGATACATTCGACGCCATGCAGCCTTCATCACCGACGCTTATGCTTTGAAGGCGTTATTTTGCTCATTGGTACGAAGCATACTTGAATACGCCGCACCTGTTTGGACACCGTATAAATCTACACTAGCCAGCAAATTAGAACGAGTTCAGAAATACTTCGTTCGGTTTGCTCTCCGCCACCTACCATGGAACAATGAAACACACCTGCCTCCATATACCTCACGCTGCTTATTACTTGACTTGGAAACGCTGTCTGCCAGACGCCTGAAATTGCAGCGTATCTTCATCTTCGACATTCTTACGGATCGCATCGACTACCCTGCGCTGCGTCAGCTTGTCAACTTCAACGCTCCATCTCGTTCACTTCGAACTCACGCTGCGCTTTACGTACCTCATCACAGAACAAGCTATGGACATAACAACCCTCTGAGTACCTGTATACGTGCTTTCAACACTGTTTATGATCAGTTTGACTTTAACATTAGCAAAAATGTGTTTAGTACTAGAATTAGAAATTTAGATTAAGTTGCAGTCTGAACGAGTATATCGAAGACGAAGGAATAAATAAATAAATAAATAAATAAATAAATAAATAAAAAAA